GGGTGGGGGGGGGGAAGTGACTTTGTATGTCTACACGTACAGTAGGACTTACTACCACACTGGCAGTGAGGTCATCCTCCTCCCGCTGCGCCACCCCCACCGTCTGGAACACAGTCAATAGATCTTCATCGCCAATGCCGTTCACGGCGTCACTTCAACATCGCGTCCCGCCTTCCTGCCAGGTTTACACAACACTAGAACAGTATCCACTCAACCTTCAATAACCCCTTATGTAGGACCGTCGCTATCTGCCTTGAGGTCTGCCGTCTGGGTGTCACCCTATCTATCACCCGTCCATCATGCACCGGGTCCGACTAATCACAAGCTGCTCCTCCTCTTCCTGATTACACCTCCACTGATCCTCCCAAATAGTTTCTTCTGTTTTTCCCCAAGCTACGAGTTGGGGCGCCCTTGATAGCCAGCGTGAGATAGGTTTTTCAACAGCATTGGGGCCCCACCTGACCGATTGCCGCACCTCCTGAGCTAATAATGTAGTTACGCAACTAGGGTCAAGACCTTCCTCGTCTCTGCTTATGATTGACTGTCCGATACCACATTGTCATCTGTGGTATTCATACTCACTTTCCTCGTGCACGTGCCTACCTACACATTCACACAGTCTCTACTGCTGGTCAGCTTCTGCAAAGAGTGTTATTACTCTCTTTTGAAGCCCTCTCATGGTGGCTAACAAACCTCGACATTGGTGTTTAGCTCCACAACCTTGTCATGTACAAGAATATAATTACAAATACACTTCTTTGGTTCTTTCGGTAAAGTCACGTAGAATGAGAATAAAATAATAAATTGATAAAATAAAATAACACAATAATATTCTCACGACGTTTCGGCCACAACACAAGCGGCCTTCATGCGCTGTCCTACCAGACAGTCTCGTCCCTTCACCTGATGAAGGCCGCTTGTGTTGTGGCCGAAACGTCGTGAGAATATTATTGTGTTATTTTATTTTATCAATTTATTATTTTTATTCTCATTCTACGTGACTTTACCGAAAGAACCAAAGAAGATGAATCATTGCAGTCACGAAAGCTTTAAATCGAAATTACAAATACACTCTTACATTCACATTGAATTCCTGTATCCAGAGGACGAATTGCACGGTGCAGTCTTCGGTATTCAGCCTGGAGTTCTTATATGAGGAGCAAAGGAACTGAAGTAAAAGACAGTGATAGGTACCACGTGCCAAGGAAACTAATTCCACATAACAGGATGCTTCATGAAGCAATCCTGCGGTCTCGGTTGTTCCTCGTGACGGTCCTAGACAGATTTAGGTTTCTCATCACTAAAACATCGACTCACTGAGGCAGAAGGGAAACTGCTGCTCTGATTACCGCTGGGTTCTACTATGTAGAACAGTGGCCGGTGCAGAAACCACCTTCAGGAAGGGGAAGTTTACTTGAGCTTATCCTTGATGCAGATTGACAACTGAAATGTAAATGTCACTTTAAGTATTTCCATGGAGGCAAAGCGTTGTTCGGGTGGCATTGTCTCCAGTTGTGAGACACATCAGGTGAAGTGATAAGTCCATGGGCCAGAGCTGAAATCTATACCACTTAAGATAGAAAAACTATCATCGTACCGGTTTATACAATTTAATAAGAGTATTTTTTTGTATCATCCACTCCAAAGATTGATCACATAACTCACTATTATTGGCCACAGAAAGAACTGGGAACGATTGAACTTACGCCACCTCATGTGGTACTGACAAGGGAGAAATACGTTGTCTGGGCTCATGGGCTGAGGAGAGCACGCAGAGTGGTATGCCTTGGTGCCTGCTGCATGAGAAGTGTGGCGGGCACGTGAATCGCACGATGAACAGCAGTGCGCACCTATCCTGTGACGAACAAACAATTCACGCACACAGGGTCTGCAGATTGCATTCAAGTCCAGCAAGGACACGTTCTGCATGCTCTGCGGCATGTAAAAAAAAATTGACAGTAAGCACACTACACTAATTACCCAGTGACTTGAAATTGATTTCCAGCCAAAACTAACATCAGTGATGAGTGATATTTGAACTGCCCTGGCACCTAACGCTGCACCACCCCAAGCTGACATGCGTAGCAAAGTACAGTCAAACTATTCCCATGACCAGCATTGTGTATGAGTGCATTCATATAACAGTGGCTTGACACTTAATATATAAATGCATTCTCTAAATCGATTTGATATCACTCTGAGAGGAAGAAGAACACATGAATCCGAGACATATTGACTGTTTAGGAAAGTAAATGGGTTTGGCCAGGACACGCTGCTTGAAGTGATTTTGGCCAGTGGTTACAAATAATGATAAAGTGTCTACCACAGAAGGGAATGTGCACAACAGAGAATGTCCATCACGTATATGGAACAATAAAATCGTTTGTGTGCAGCAGGTGCTAGGTGGATTGTTACATCTCAGGACTGTTGGAGATGGTGATGAATTATGGAAGAGTGGATTAATCACGATTGATGATGGATGTTATGTGCAGGCCGGCTCGTGCTTTGGTTAGGGTGCTCGACTCGTAATTGGAAGGTTGTGAGTTCAAATCCCGATCTGGGGTCAACTCGGCCCGTCACTCATCCAGGGCCGATACTCTGTTTTGCAAGTTGGTGGGATGTCAGCAGTAGTTGTACTGTCGAGGGCCTGGTCCCCAATATGGAAATATGTCATTTGCGCCCCGTAAATAGGGGGCAGTCGGTGATACGTTTCAATGCATGCTTCATATAAGCAGGGAGACGCTTACGGTTGGCTTGAGAGGGAGAGAGCGATGTCTCGGTCGCACCTCGTTGCTGCAATTTGTCCGTTAAGCTCGCTTGCTGAATGCCTCCGCTTAAGAAAATCAATACGTAGCATCATGCGCACTGGAGACTTGAAGCAAGAGGCACATGACACTAGGCTGTGTGGACAGTACGTGCAAGAGTGTCGATGTTCGCTTGACATCTTGGCCTTGCCCTCAGTGTTTTTTCTATGAGACACCGTTTTTGCTTGTGTATTATCAACATCGGTGCTCTTGTGAGACATGCATTTAACTCTATACTTTTTAGGTTATATGTGAAAAGGGAATTGGCAAAGCCACAGAGCTATGTTTCATTTTATTTTCGTAAGCTTAAAAACACAGCATACGCGGCTTACGGATTGTGCTGCGGTTCACGTTTCCAAGAGGCCAGTTTCCATCACCGCAACCTACTTCCGTCAATTATACGTCAACTGTTTACCTCCGACAGTTAGCAGGTTGTGCGTGAATATACTGGATAATTTGATATCCCTTAACAAATACTGTACTGACGCAGACTTTAAAGCTTCCAGATGGGTACTGCAGCCGTCATCTTGGTGACGGTCACGTTTGTATAATAGTGGGACGGATGGCATTGTGGTGAGAGTGCTTAAATCATTACTAGAAAGTCGTGCGTTTAAATCTCAGTTTAGGATCAACTCAAACCGTGATGCCTCGCCCTAGGAGGTGACTCTCTCCGATCATGAAAGCGTGGATATTTTCCACTGGCTTAGGGCTACTAGCAGAGGATCACCGTCCCAGAACCTGCAGGAGACGCTTTGACTTGAGTCGCACACACGGCCGAGTGGCAGTGCAATTGCCGCTTGTTGCAGATGTTCGCTGTTCATGTCTATCGGCCGCCAAGAGTCAACACCGGGGGAATATTAAACATTAATTTGAATCGTCTTGCTTCACAGTGGACGTTAAAGATACCGTGACATTCGAAAGGTGCCTCACGTGTGCTCTTGCCACGGTCCAAATGAGAAAAATGACACGCAAATTGTTTAAATTGGAATAATCGTGTAGTAATATGGCCCCTTCCAGGAAGACTATACTTGTCTGTGAAACATAGTGCCTTTGCTCTAGCCTTCCGTTGTAAGAAAGGCGCAACTACAGAATGTACAAATTGTTTCCTTTAATAAATGCAAAGTTTTTGTTACGAAGCTGACGAGCCAGCAGTCTGCTAACAGATCCTCTAACACCGAGCTGATCTAAACTCACGCGTCTTGCTGAATGTGTCGTGGGGGAGAAATTTCCCCAGTTAGCCCCCCCCACACAGCCGGCTGTTATTTTTGGAAACGCTTGACACTGACAAGAGCCAAGCTCAGGCACCGTACGATGACAAATTGTGCGCGTTAAATTCTTCTACAATAATAGGGAAGGTGGTAATAGCTTCTGGAAACCCGCATGGCGTGTGAGGATCATGCTCGCCTGTCTCTGAAGGCAGCCGTGATGCGCCAGGAGGCTGGGTAGCTCCTCCGTTGCGTCGGTCAACTCGGGCTCCAGTGGAACTCCTCACTTGTAGGTTGCTAATATGAATGAATATGACTCCTATATGCATGTCTGTTCACGTATATTGGTACAATAGTTGGCCTATATTTGTTAAATGTTTCTGTAACCTGTATTTGTACTCTGATCACTATAAATATTTTAATAATGATTTGTACATAGAATATTTACATTTCTCATGTGACAGTTGTTTGTGTTGCGATTTATATTTGCTTGATTGTTGTACTTTACATTATGAGACCTCCTTTGCCAGTAACAAGATATAGAAATAGGTTTTACCCTTTTAACTGGCACAAAAACTGACACCTTTATTCAAGGCATCATGTTTGCAAAAACCACAACACAAGCAGTCAAAATGCAAACAAAAGAGACAACTCTGATAATAATATGCACTGTCCTTGAATTTGATTGGTCCACACCCGAGACGGCTTTTCTTAGAGCCTAGTCTCCACTGGTGTTGGACCAGAAGACGCCAAAAGGCGTACAACTCAAAAACAGCGCACTATCAGAGTATTGAGGGCTCGGGGTGAGCATTTACATTATGAAACCTCCTTTGCCAGTAACAAGATATAGAAATAGGTTTTACCCTTTTAACTGGCACAAAAACTGACACCTTTATTCAAGGCATCATGTTTGCAAAAACCACAACACAAGCTGCTTGTGTTGTGGTTTTTGCAAACATGATGCCTTGAATAAGGGTGTCAGTTTTTGTGCCAGTTTAAAGGGTAAAACCTATTTCTATACTGCTGTACTTTATTTTACGTGTTTTGCTTTTGTGATTTTGCTGACCCCACAGTCGCTCCCGCAAATTAACCTCATCCTAATCTCTTAAATTCTCATCTGATTATACCACATAACCTTATAAAAATTTCACCAGGATAGCATCCCTGAGTCTCCAGACTATTTTTCAGGAGGGTTCTGCCAACTGAGTTATTTACAGGTAATTTCTCAGCATTAACATTTTTGACCAATACCAGCTACAGCTACTGTTTTTTTTTTCAATGGAAGGAACCCCATTTAGAACAGGCAGATAACTTAAAAAGTCCATACGGACAGGTGCCAGATTTGGAAATCGAACCCAGGCACGTATTTCTTTGAGGCACACTGATGCCACTGACAGTGAGAGACACCATTGATTCCGTGTCACAACTGTTTTTGACACAAATTACAGCATCCTGCAGAAACGTTTTTGGGTCAGACGTAGGTCACGGGGTCAGCATGTATGGGTCCAATTTGAAAATTACGCCGAAACCTATTGATTGAGCTCTTGCTCGTTGTAAACGAGGAGACAGATCGATGAAAGCTTTGGCGTAGAGATGGGCAGCTTCGTATGAGTGTAATCCACCTGGGCACATGCCAGGATATTGGGTGGGTGATGAGTTCTATGTCTGCTACAGAGTGGGTGATGAGTTCTAGGTCTGGGCTATAGAGTGGGTGTTGAGTTCTAGATTTGGGCTATAGAGTGGATGATGAGTTCTGAGTCTGGGCTATAGAGTGGGTGATGAGTTCTATGTCTGTGCTATAGAGTGGGTGATGAGTTCTATGTCTGTGCTATAGAGTGGGTGATGAGTTCTATATCTGGGCTATAAAGTGGGTGCCGTAGCTGCTGTAGCCGTGTTCCTCCCCCTTGGTGGTGCATACAGAGATGGTAAGCAGCAATGTGTTGTGGGGTCATTGTTGTGAAGGAGGAGTCATGGCATGCTGCGCTCGCGAACGAAGCAAGCGGCCCCCTCCGGCATCGGCGGCGTTTCCTCCTCCCACCGAAACGGGGATTCTACCCATTGCGGGTGCCCTGCCCCCGTGTGTATTTTTCCTAAGCTCCATGGTGCGGGACAGACCATGGTGTGAGGTTTCACTTTGGCATTCGCCAGCCACTTGGTTGGCAACACACGGCCAGACCTGACTCAATGAGCAAGCGGGCGCGGCGTCCGCTGGGCAGGTGGGAGCGAGCGATGCAGCCACCCAGGGAATGACGAGAACGACGTCTGCCGCCGTTTGGTGAAGGGCAACTCTCATGGGGAAGTATTGATCGGTCAAACAACTCTTCATTTGGAGGTAGGGGACTGATGGCCTCTTGAGATATGCAGCGTTTTTAAATTACAAAAGGACATTTGGGTTGAGAAAAGCAAGCGGTTTTGAAATAAATTGACATTAACAGTGAATCACAAGGATCACTTAGTCTGGCTGACTGAGCTTCAGACACGAAAAACAACTATAAGAATGCTTGTGGGTGCTTTTGTTTGACTGAGCCTCAATCAACAAGAATGAATCCTAAGAATTCTAAAAGTGCCTAAGTCTGTGAGCCTGTGATAATTAACTGAGCTCTATGAATGCTTTAGTCTTGCTTTGGCCATTAGCAGTTAAATCCTATGGATTCTGTTGTGTGCCCTTAGTATGCTCTATCAGGCATTGACTAACCCTATACATCTAGAATATGCTATAGTCTGGCTGCCAGAGCCTCCGGCATTCAAAGGGAACAATCTTCATGCTTGAGAGTACCTGACTCTGATTTAGCTTGTGCTAGAAAACGGTTCTTTGTGGAACGTTTTGTAACCTAAGACATTGTTAAGCACTAGAGGGAACGAGCTAGCAACATTTCAACATTCCATGTTTTAAGGGCTTAGTTGCCAGAGGCCTTGCAGACACTCAGCCGGGGAAGGGGCGCGCAACAAAGTGCTCGAGTCGCAGCAGGTAATCGATGATGCGTTGTTATGCGTACGAGTCGTGCTTAATCTCGCACGAGGAAAGCCTCCGGGCGGCGTGCCACGCGCTACCTTGAAAAATGCAGGCGCCCATTACCGTGCAGGTTCTCTTTCCCAGGGAACTAGGCTTGTGTGTGGAGAGTTGTGTGTTGTCGAGCACAGCGATGAAGAAAGGGGAAGTTGAAATGAGTTAACTTCCGTCTGGTAACTCCCCGCAAGTGATGTGTCAACAAGGAGTGGCATTTAAGTCTCGGATTGTTTGCATTGCAGCAAGCAGCAGTTTTTGTTGTCTTGGGACTTGCCGTGGCATACCAGATGTGGCCTGCTATGGCTTGGAGACAGTTGACGTCTTTTAAGAAAATGAGGCTGTGATGGGGTGGCCTTACCTGTCTGTGCAGGTTGGAGGAGACACCCACAAGGTTGGCGAGCAAGGGGAAGATTTACAGCCGGAGTTCCGCACATTTCACAGCATTGGTATGTTTGGTCAATGTCAGTTACATTGCATGTTGGTTTTTTGCTATGCGAGGAAATACTCCCAAATCAAGGGTGAGAAAAGTATACAAACTCCACGGAGAAAGGCACCTGAATCGGGAGTCAAACCCCGAGGCTGTTCTTGCAGTGAATGATGCTCGGGCGTTACCACTGCACCAACCTCTCGCTCATAATAAGTAATATATTTTTTTAAAAACTTTTTTTAAACACGCTTTAATGAAATGTAACCTACTAGTAATGGAAGAACTCCACGACTCCAGGAAGTGGCCCCGAAGCTCGCCACAACGTAAGGGGACCGTGGTGAATTACAGCCAACGTGAGTTGAGCGTGGACAATTAGACCCAAGCCGAAACATAACGTATAAAAAAATCAAGTTTAATTGAATTTTTAATGATAGAATACAGTATTGTCATCAGTATGACACAAGTATACCAAGTTTGCAGTCGATACCACATTGGGAAGTGGGTTACAATTGAGTTACAAGATTTAAATGATACAACGACAACAACAACAACAACAACAGACCGAGTGAGGTTAATAGAAAGCGTGTTATAAAAGTGGAAGATATTTAGTTTGGACAATCTTGTCTGAAGACAGGTAGACCCTGTGTATGAAGCCAATGTTGGCAGTCAGGTGTGAACTGATAACGAGGTGAGGAATGCAGCAGACGGAAATGATGACGAGGTGAGGTTGAATCGCCAGCATTGGCCATGATGACCTTTTGATCTTTTTTGATCTTAGCAGTGTTAGATTAGAAGTTATTGTGAATAACAATGTTATCATTAGTTATTGAATAGTCTTTGTGCTCCCAGGCCACACAAGAGCCCATTGAGACAGCTGGTCTCTTGGATAGCGGAGACCTAGTGCATGGTGTTTGGACTAAATGCCGTAGCTAGGCAGAGTGTAAGTCAGGACTAATTGTGTTATGGATATGGTCAGTTTTAGTGCTCGTATATTTTGCGTTGTGGATAGCGACAGTAATAGTGCTGTGGTTTGGGATGGTTACCCGTATGATTAAGTACTAGGTTAAAAAGTCTAGTTGCTGCGGGTGCTGCTGGTTTTAAGCTTTCGTGACTGCAGGGATTCATGCACTTTGGTTCTTTCGGTAAAGTCACGTGGGTAGAAAAATAAAATAAAACACCTACGTGACTTTGGCGATAGAACCAAAGAATACAAGTGCTGCCGGTGTTGAGCTTAAGGGTAAGAGGCACAGGTTTGCGCTCGCCTTGTGCTCTCGTCCGTTGACTCGACGCCAACGACGAATCGATGTTGACCGTTGTTGGTTCGTCGTTACTTGTTGTTGGGTGCCTGGGTGGTACTGCTAATCTCGTGGGGCGAGGGCGGACGGTGGCGCCAACAGGCTCGTGCGTCGCGTTGGTGATGCAGTTGGCAAACGTCGCGTGGTAATTTTGCCCTTTACCAGTAAACAAGTTGGAATGTAAACATGTTTCACTGTTAGCTTCGCTTGGCCTCGTTGGAGGCGGTGCGTCACTGGGGGGGGTGGTGGTGATGATGGTGGCACTGGTAGCCTGAGAGTGAGAGAGGGGAATTGAACCCGGGTCTCGGGCTTGTGTTGGAGCTTCTTCATCGGCACACCCTGTCGGGCAGCCAGCGCCGCACAAACGGGTGCCGACGCGACCCAGCAAATACACGCCGCCGTTTCCCCGCCGAGCCGAGTTTTAGATTAGTTCATTTTATTGAATGCACTTGCCAGCAGTGGCGAAGTTGTTGAGTGTATTCCAAATTGAGTGATTGACGGTGTCTTTTTGTTTTTAAATTCAGACCATGACGCCGGCACACAATGTCCCCGTCTTTTTGAACGGAATAAGGGCATCTTTAACATGCATCGTGAAGCAGACGGTGCTTATTTGAACAGTCAATACGCCAGCATTGACGGCCAGGGCAGCCTGCTGGAATCGAACCATGATACCTCTGCAACAAGCGGCTGACACGCTGCCGCTGGGCCATGTCACCGCCGGTCCGGGTAGGGGATCGTATTTGAGAGGCGGCATGGGAGCATCCTAATTTAATTAGTGCTCAATGTGGGCTGCCACATAACAACAGCCGCATACATATTTAATGTGTTGTGAGGTGTCTCCGTGGTTATTGTGCGTGCGGATTTGTCTTTTGTACGTGTGCTTGGTGGGAGCGGTGGCTTTGTAATTGGCGCACTGTGCTTCTAATTCGGAAACCTGAATTCTATTGCAAGTCAAGGCTAAAATAATTGATGAGAGATATCAGAACTGGTTGAGTCAGCCGGAAATCAGAACTGTACCTGGTGTGATGTATGTAAACAACATCGCTTGGGAGACGGAGATGACCCAGCAATGATGTTTCCCACTACACCCCTTGCGCGTCCCTCTGGCATGAACAGGCGTTCGCTAACAGCGCTTACTCTTACGGTGTACGTACCCATAGCAAATCGTGCCTGCAGATCGTTATCGTGCATTTCCGCGACCACACGTTCCGTTGAGTTCCTGCCCTGCACCTTTTCAGTCGCACGTGTGAGTTGCGTGGAAGGTGGCTTGCAGCTCGCAGCACGAGGCTGCTGCTTGCTCTGCCCGTGGCCAGCGCTTTGTTGGTGCGTGCGTGCGGGCCATAGCGCGCAGGTCTTGCCCTCTTGCGCCATGCTTATCTCTCCAGCACCAGCGCGGTGTGGCAATCGTTGGTTCAGGGCCCGCATGGTTGGTGAGGTGATCCTTTATCCAGGTTGAGTTTGCACTTAGTTATTTTTATATATATATTGCATACTGTACCATTGGATTCCAAGAAATGGCTCGAAAAAAGTTTGTATCGGTTTCATCAGAATTTCTCAACGTTTGGAGAGGTTAAATTAGTTGGACTTCTTCGCGAAAGTCCAATGCAGCGGCACCGGCATGGCCAAAGTTCTCTCAAGATGATCGTCATTGTCATCGTCGCCCTTATCATTGTTGCCTTGACCACGATATCATTTTAAACGTGGGGAAATAGTGCAGTTACTGTAGTCAGCTTATCAAAGGTGTCTACTGGCAATCCCATATTCCTACATCTGCCAATGCTTAGCATGTACGGTTGATTACTTTTCATAATCGTCATCAACGGGCATCATCTCTCCACAGCTGGATGAAGGCCTCCCCAAGCTCTCGCAATCCCAAATGGTCATTCGATGCATCAACGCTTCTCGCTTCTGCGCACGAGCTGATCTCATTGCTCCGTCTCCACAGTGGACGTCTTTGTGGATGTGTTCCCTACTCTGGTTGCCACTCTGTCGTTAGTCTTGACCACTCGCCGTCACCTCTTCTTGTGACGTCTTCTGCCCAAGCTCCACTTTCTTAACACTCCTTTTGATTTCGATTTAAAGCTTTCGTGACTGTTGGGATTCATTCTTGGTTGTTTCGGTAAAGTCACGTAGAAGGGAAATAATAAAAAAATACAAATAAAAAATATTGTAAAATTGTATTGTTTTATTTGTGTTATTTTATTATTTCCCTTCTACGTGACTTTACCGAAAGAACCAAGAATATGAACTCCTTTTGATTTTTTTAACTCGCGTATGCTCTCTGATCCATGGGTTCCTCTGCGTCTCTCGGTAATTTCAAGTGTACCCTTCTCTCCAGGCTGCTTTGCACACTTTTTTGGCTTGTATTCCATTTTCGTTGTCAGTGCCCATGTTTGAGAATACTCTGAATGGTGAACGATTGTGCCAACTTAGACAAATGTGAGGGCAGCAGGAGCCAGTATACTCAGATCGTGACATAGCCTGCGCTGTTATTCCTGAGGTTAAAACAGCCGTAAGCTAATGCAGCACAATCATACAATTAATCAAGTAATCGGGTCATGTTACTTTTAATGTACTGAACGTGGGATACATTACATTTGCAGCATCGAGTGATCAATCACTATAGACTGGTTACTTTAAAAGTCACCCCTTCATAACTGATCACATAATTGTCTTTTATTGGAACATTTGAATGTTTACTGGCCATTAAAGCATATATTTGAAAAAAAAACTACTTTGAAAATAACCTTAAAGTGAAGTACATTCTATGGGTGTTTCGTTAAGAGGTTTTTTTTTACATATAAGGTCCTGTTTTTGAGGATTTTGTCATAAAATCAGTCTCTATCCCATCAGCACCACCACCCTCTGGATTTAGGTCTTGCCCTTGGTAATCTCTCTCCTCCATGCCGTGCCCGTGCCCCAATATTCACAACATCCTCTTACTGATTACATCTATGGTGCTTTCTTGCGATGTTCTGTCCCCAACCTCAACATCATATTTAACCTATCCTGCCAGGAAATGCCGAGCATCCTCCACTTGCCTCCTGTGGAGATAGCGAGGTTCAGTGGATCGCACAAATCTTGTGACTCCCTTCCCGTGGGCATCGAGGCGCCATACCCCTATCTTGCCACGAGAAGTCTGGAACAGCATAGTGTGGACTAATCTCCATCTGTTCCGTCTTTATGGGAGAGTTTCCCACTCGTCATAGCAACACAGCGCTGACATTCCCTGTGTTCATTCGAAATATCTCCTGCACGATGCCCATTGCTTAGTCTGCGCCCTAACCTGGAGAGGTGTTGTGTTCTCCACAACTTTAAAACTGCCGTGGTAGAACGTCTTTCCAGCCTACTGCCATCAGCTCGTGTCCGTGAGCGTGGCTGCGTGAGCGTGGTTGCGTGAGTGTGGCTGTGTGAGCGGGGGGGGGGAGTTCGTGAGCATGGATCTATTCCTGGCCTCTGATGCCGCTCCCTGCCGGAGCCGTGACTCTGACTCCCCTCTTGAACTCCGTTCACTCGGGTGCATCGCTTGGTGCCAGCAGACACGGTGGCCGCGTGATGGGAGAACGCACCGCTACGTACACCCCCCCCCACACCCCACACGCACACCACACACACACACACGCACACCCCACACACCCCACACACACACGAAGTTGATAAGAACAGCTAACAGAGCTTTTGAGATCGTTGCCATTTATCCGACGTGACATTTCCCTCCCATGGT